TTTTAATTTTTGAGTACATATATACATATACAACAGATATTTCAGCTTACGCGCTTTGATATATCTCTAAAACATCAATTTGAAAACAAAAATGCTACCGATTTTAAAGTAGCGTTGGATTTATACGAGACCTATACTCACTTATATAAAATATTTAGTAAAACTTTTAAATTCTTTGTCCTTACTCATTTGAAAATGAAAGTTGTTGAACTAACAAATATTTATTGTGAATTTAAATTTAAAATTTATATTTTATTTTAAAAATTATTTGGAATACATTTTTTTTTTTTATTTCAGCCATCCATTAAAAAAATTATACATATTCATAATTTTTATAGTAATTATTTTGACTAAAAAAAGTTTATAAGATTTGTATGGTACTATTCCTTTATTCTTATTTTCACCAACAATGCATTCACAAATCACTTGAATCACACACACTTCAGTGTTATTACAAAAATATTTTATAACTAATGCCAATAGAAATGATTATATGAATATAGATAGAGAGAGATTTATGTGATTTATCTAGTGTCAATATAGGCCATGTTTGTTTGGGTGGACATGAGCTTGGGATTGGACTAATAGTCCAATAAAATTATTAATCCGATGTTTGGTTAAACAATTGATGTAGGGACTAATTATTTTAAACTTGACTATTAGTTAAGATAGAATATATAATCCAACGAATTCGTAGTCCTGGGACTATTAGTCATGGGAATGTTAATCCAGTCCGCCCAAACAAACATAGCCATAAAGTATTATTTGTCTGGTGGTATTATTTGTTTTTCTAATTTTTTTTTTTTATTGGTGGAATTATTATTGCTTTATATAGTTAAATAATGTAAAACCATGTAATGTTTTATTGATTCATGTTACATTTATTAACCAAATTCCAAATAATAACTATGGATAACTACCAAAATTTTAATATATCTAATTTCGCTAGTATGTTACTGTAATATAGAACTTTTATTGATAATTCTATGTTATTGTAATGTTAGATTTGGAAAATACACATATTTATTGGACAAATAAAGAAGAAGATAAAGCAAAATTATATCATTTTATTGAATGGATTCACTATGTTTTTCACAGGGAAGTAACTATTTCTAATTGTTGATAAAATTATTTTTTAACAAAAAAGTTAAAGAGAAAGGCATTCATTTCATAGTTACAAGCTTAATAATTATTAGGATAAATTAACTTTTAAAGTATGGCCCATTTTTTACTATGAATTCCACTAAAAAATAAAAATGATTTTATATATTGACATGTAAACTTTTTATACATAGCAACACGTGTCTTTTGTCATCCAAAGAAGTAAATTAATCCTTTGAAGCGTTTGTTTGCTTGAACATTTGGATGAGCAGCCTCCTTAAATTGATAACTTATTTCGACTCCATTGCAAGCCCACAATATTCCTTTCATAGACTCTGGTTTCCCACTTAAATAAAATAATAATTATAAATACTGACAATTTAAACAAACTTAATAAAATAAAATAAAAATTAATTATTAAATAAATTTAATTTTTTTTTTATAAATAATATACATGTCTCATAAAATAAATGATTCAGATAAAGAAAAATGAAACTCGTGATCGGTCTCACGAGTCCTCATAAACATGAGAGAAGCCCACCTATTATTAAGAGTTATAAACAAACCATACAATTCAAGCTCGACTTGTATTCGGATTCTTGAAAATTCATTCAAGCTCGGTTTGTTAAATAAATAGTCAAGTTTGAACACATTTTCGAGCTCGTTAAGATTTTTAAACCAAATTTAAATAGTCAATTATTCGTTTGGCTAGATTCAATAAGTTTAAGATTATATAAAATATTAAATTACTCGAATTCAACTTTATAAAAATTCGTTTAAGATCAATTCAAAAATTTAATGAATCAAGTTTGGACCAATTTTAAACTAATTAAAGTTATCAGATCAAACTTAAAAAATAAATTATTCGACTTGTTCAGTTCATTTACCACCCCAACTATTTTATTATGTATATTGCAAATTGAGGCCTGTGGATTTAGCCAGCAGCAAACAATGCATCACCCAACTAACGTAAGAAACACATAACTGAAAAGTGGGCCGAAACTTTCCACTTCACCAGAGGTGGTGGGCCCCATACTATGGACCTAACATTGCCAATGTTTTGCGCAGTTTCTCAGCTGGGGTTTTAATTTAAACTCGCCATGTAAAAGGGCTGACATGGCCCAATCAGCCCTATCCAGACCCAGTTTCTACTGGACTAGCTCAAGCTCGGCCCGAGCCCGTAACACTCTAC